AATAATAACTATATTAATATGCTGTTTATAATCAATATATAATATTGCTGTATAATAGATATATAATTATGCTGTATAATAATAATATAATATGCCTGTATAATTAATATATAATATGCTTGTATTAATAATATTATAATATGTGCTATAATAATATATAATATGCTGTATAATCAATATATTAATCGATGTTATAATAATATATAATAGGCTTGTATAATATTTTAATATGCTGTCATAATTATTATATATGCTGTTATTAATATATAATACTGATGTATAATATAATAATATGCTTTATCTTAATATGCTGTGTCATAAATATAATTATGGATAATAATATCATAATATGCTTATAATACATATATAATACGATTATAATAAATATTAATATGCTTGTTTATAAGTATATAATATGCCCTGGTTCATTAAAATATATAATACGATGATAGAACATAATATATTATATGCCTGTATAATACTTATAATATGCTGATAATAATATATAATACCGAGTATAATAATATATATATGCTGTTTATTAATATATAACTATGCTGTATAATAATATATAATATGCCTGATAATATTTAATTTGCTGTATAATATATAATTATGATGTATCAACTAATTATATAATTATGCTGATATAATTATAGATATATATACTACGATGTATAATAATATTATAATATGCCTGATAATAATATAATATGCCTGTATACATATATAATATGATTTGTATAGTAACATATAATATGCTGTATAATAATATATAATATGCTGTATAATAATATATAATATGCTGTATATAATATGCTGTATAATAATATATAATATGCTGTATAATAATATATAATATGCTGTATAATAATATATATTAATATGCTGATATAATAATAGGTATTAATATGCGTATAATAATTATAATCAGTGCTTATATAATATTAATATGCTCGTATAATGAATATATTAATATGCTGGGTAGTAATATATAATACGACGCTAGTATATAATATATAATATATGCTGTATAAATTTAATTATCGCTGTATAAATATATAATATGCTGTATAATTATAATCGTGTATAATTAAATATATAATATGCTGCTATATTTATATGCTTATAATATATTAATATGTGTGTATAAATAATACTATAATCGATGCTGGTACCCCGGAATTAGTGATAAATACGATGGTATAATATGGAGGATATATACATATTTGCTGATATAATATCATAATTATGCCTTATAAGGTAATATATTAATACGACTGGGGTAATAATAATATATAATTATGCTGTCTATACATTATATAATATGCCTGTATAATATATAATACGATGTATAATAATGATATAATATGTCCTGTATAATATATAATATGTGTATACTAATTATAATATTCGCTGTTATATATTTTATATGCGTTATATGAATATATAATATGATGTATAATAATATATATGCTGTATAATAATATATAATATGCTGTATAATATATAATATGCTGTATAATAATATATAATATGCTGTATAATAATATATAATATGCTGTATAATATATAATATGATGTATAATAATATATATGCTGTATAATAATATATAATATGCTGTATAATAATATATAATATGCTATATAATTATAGCAGGAGTGAATAATAGAGATCTCTATTATTCAATCTGTATTATTCACTCCTAATAATATATATGCTGTATAATAATATACTGATATGCCGTATATATTATGCTGTATATATAATATATAATATGCTGTATATAATGTGTTATTATATACAGCTTAGCAAACAACACAAACACATTCTACTAACAGTGGATATGAGAGTGTAACCATCCTTTCGCCTCGCATCTTTGACAACATTGCCAAAATAAAAACAGCCAGTGTAGTTTCCAAATATTTCCAGTTAAATATTCACACATTTTTGAATTTAATATTCACTGGAAATAATTTTTTTCACGTTTAAAAAATTCTGACGATTGCTTATAACGCTGATGGAGCTAGTATTTGTGCTGTTCTCGCAAAAATAAGCGCAAATCCATTTTTCAGCTACAAGCAAACAACCCGAAGGTTTTACATTTAATAATTTAAGAGAAGGATTGAAATGTCTTATATTTCCATATTAGTTTTACATAAAAATACGCACGTATTTATAATAATAAGCAGAAAGTCAGTATTGATATGTGAAGAATAAAATCTATGTTGTTGCTGTTTACATAATTTAGTGAAACAAAATTACAATTCAGTTTCATTTTTATTCAAGTCATATATGTTTTTATTGCAGAAGTTGTTTACAAGCATTGAGAATTGAACATGAACTGAGAGGGTGTTCAGATCATCTCTATTTCTCTCTTTGTCTCTGTCTCTGTTGTTCTTTCTTTAGATGTTCTGCTAATCTCTCTGTCTGTCTGTTTGTCTATCTTTATCTCTGTCTCTCTCAATCACACGCACGCACGCACGGACGCACACAGTGTCACACACACAGTGTCACACACACACACACACACCCACACCCACACCCACCCACACACATACGCGCGCACGCGCGCATACACACACTCAAGCACGCACGCACGCGCACACACGCACGCACCCACACCCACACACACATACGCGCGCGCACGCACGCATACACACACACAAGCACGCACGCACGCACGCGCACACACGCACGCACCCACACCCACACACACATACGCGCGCGCACGCACGCATACACACACACAAGCACGCACGCACGCACGCGCACACACGCACGCACCCACACCCACACACACATACGCGCGCGCACGCACGCATACACACACACAAGCACGCACGCACGCACGCGCACACACGCACGCACCCACACCCACACACACATACGCGCGCGCACGCACGCATACACACACACAAGCACGCACGCACGCACGCGCACACACG